TCCTGGGGGGTCAGTGTGTCTGCAGGGTGTCCAGTCCTGCTCCTGGGGGGGTCAGTGTGTCTGCAGGGTGTCCAGTCCTGCTCCTGGGGGGAGTCAGTGTGTCTGTAGGGTGTCCTGTCCTGGTCCTGGGGGGGGGGTCAGTGTGTCACTGTGCTTTAATCACGCACTGTGTCGGAGCAGAGTCATGTTGCAATCAGCAACCAGCCTTCTGGAGCAACTACATGACTCTGGGCAACGAGCAGCATTATGCTTACCTCTGTGGCCAGGAGTGGGATTTCAGGAAGTGACTTGCACTTGACCATTGCCCTGTGCAGGCCCCGTGGTGTCAGACATGCTGAGCTACGCGCTTGTGTCCTCTCACGATGGGTCCCGTGAGCAGCTGTCCTCTGTCCTGTCCTCTGCAGGTGCTCTTGTGTGGAATATCACTGTGCTTTTTTTTATTGTGGCGCCACCTGCTGGCTGGACATGTCTGTGCACTTTGTGTGCACAGCTGACAGAAACCTGTTGTGAATATTCTCAGTAGGGACACTGTAAACAGGTTTGCAACCACAGTAATTTCATGTAGTTTCAGTATCTTTTTACTGTTTTTTTAGTTCGCTACCTTAGAAGTCACAGGGAAATCTAGCAGAAAAAAGCATGCCCTAGTGGTCCAGGAAGAATTAATTTGTTAATTCTTGCTCATCACTCTTCTTTCTCCAGTATCAGTGTTATAAATGATCAGACTAAATGAGCCATGTCCAAGAATAAAATTACAGTTATTTTTACATTTACTCAACAGGGTGATACATGAGTTCTCTCTGTCTGTTATCTCAGTATTACTGTTATGTGTGACATAAGAAGACTTACCTAAAGCCATTACCTGTTGTCCCTCCATTTTCAAACCAGACAGTAGTCCTTTCTTCATATGTGCCCATTTTTAAACTTTCTCTTTTAAAGCTTTTAAACGTAATATTTACACTGTGTGCATGATGTGCCTGTATACAGACCATATAAATATGGCATCAGCACAGCACACTGTATATTAGATTAATTATGAGTCACTGGCAAATGAGGAAATGGCCGATGTGGCTGGGGCATCTGGTGAGGATGCCCCCAGGGCGCCTCCTACTGGAGGTCTACCAGGCACGGCCCACTGGGAAGAGACCCTGAGGCAGACCCAGGACACGCTGGAGGGATCCTATCTCTCTGCTGGCCTGGGAGCATCTGGGAGTCTGTTGCTGGGGAAAGGGCAGTCTGGTCCGGCCTGCTCAGCCTGTGACCACTGCAAGCCTCGCCAGGAGGAAGCAGCTAAGGAATGAGATGAGATGTTTTAATAGTTTCAATCCTGCTCTGAGAATGAGTTTCCACAGGTCCTGTAGGCAGCCTCATTGTTTGCTTTGTGCAGTGTTGTGTGGTGCCTTGTTTTTACCCATAATGCTTTTGGAATATTGACGAGACGCACTTCTGTCTGCGAAGCTTTCTCTTGACACCGTTGTCACACTGCCACTACGCCGTGCTCCTTCTTTCTGTGCAACCCGCTCTTTATCTCTGATGTGTAAGACACTCGATTTTAAATTGCGCACCTCAAAGGAACTGTGCCAATGAATCAATTGTCCACTTATTTATTCAAGGCTTCAGTCTCCCTAATGCAGGTGAACATTTCTGAGCTGGAGTGTTCAAAGTTGGATTGTTACGTGTACAAATACATCGAGGGCCAGTGACCATTTACAAGTGAAGAAGTTACACAGGGGTGCTAATGGTACCTTTTTAAAACAGTATTTTCCCTTTTGACATTAATTGTGTAACATGCCAACAACACATCAGTGCTCAATGTGAAATACTCTTGTTCATAATATATATATATATGTATGTATGTATATGATATATGAACAAGGAAGATCATCCATTTTCAGTCCTGGCCAAGGTGTATATTACAAATGAGATCCATGGATTGTAAGCATTTCACAACACTGTGAAAGAATAACAGCCCGTCATGTAATAAATATGCAGTAGGAATATTACACCACTAAAGAACAGTATAACATGTGAGTCACAATTTGGCATGCATTACATCTGAGAAGTATAATGCTATATCACAAATGCAGTTGCTTTGCACTCTACAAGATACTCAAGAATCCTGCTTGCTTGGCGCGGTGCATGTAACCCTGACCAGAGGGGTTTTGTGTGTCAGTATGCAGTGACTGACTGACCACCCACATTACCATAGATTACCATTTGGCCAGACTTTCCTTTTTTGATCACATTTCTTAACAGAGCCACTCAGCAGCACAAGCCCCCAGCTGTGAAACAGGCAGTTAACGGTTAATGACAACGACAGCGCTGCTTAGTTACCTGGGGCAGGGCCATGTTTCGCCAGTCAAATTAATTGAGTTGTTCACTGGTTATGCCAAGAAATAAAACTGCATACCAGATGTTCGCCATCATTACCCTGGTAGTTTCTTTTCTGGTAGTTTGTTTCTCCCTTTCATCTGTCCAGTAGAGACCCCTACTGGCAAACAGTGAGTACAGCAGCTGTGTCACAACAGGGAGGTGCGCCCTACACAGTTAATGCAATCGTGGTTACTGTATGTAGAAGTTCAAGTGTGATGAAAACTGTGGCTTCCCTATCTTCCCAGAAAAGACTGCATTTAAGTTGATAGACAAAGACTGTTCTTCTAAAATGTAACAGCGCAGTTTGTCTTTGAAAGATTCTCAGGCGTGTATAGGGGGCAGTCGTTCTCCTTCACAGAAGTCGTCTTCTTGTGTAGGACTGTCTGCTGTCGCTCCGCTGAGCGGATGGGCTTTCTCTACTGCAAGCGGCCCTCTTTTTCTCAACTTCCAGCTCTAAAGCTGTTGCTGCTCTAAAGCCTGGCCTGCTGTTTCCTAATGACCGCCGGGCTGAGGAAGTGTTTGTAGCCTCACAGTCTTTCATTGCCCTCTGTCTCTTCCTCTTCGTCTTTCTGTCTCCTTCCTCTCTGCTCTACTGTTCCTCTCCCCGTTCCCTGTAACCCCTCTCCCTCTTCTCCCTCCCTGTTCACTCCTGTCTCTCTCCCTATTCACTCCTGTCTCTCCCTCCCTGTTGACTCCTGTCTCTGTTCACTCCTGTCTCTCTCTGTTCACTCCTGTCTCTCTGTTCACTCCTGTCTCTCTTTCTGTTCACTCCTGTATCTCTCTGCACACCCCTCTCTCCCCCTCTCTGCACACCCCTCTCTCTCCCTGTTCACTCCTGTCTCTCTTTCTGTTCACTCCTGTATCTCTCTGTTCACTCCTGTCACTCCCTCCCTGTTCACTCCTGTCTCTCTCTCCCTGTTCACTCCTGTCTCTCCCTCTCTGTTCACTCTCTCCCTGTTCACTCCTGTCTCTCCCTC